CGATAGATCGATAAGTCGCGGATAAACGGCGAGATCGTGAAAGTTCCCACTGTTCTTAATCGATAAGAGAAATTCGAGTTGCCTCTGTCGCTCGATATCCATGTGAAATTCAGCTGGCAACGTAGGTAGGCGCATGTAAAATGCAAATGTTAGATATCTCGCGATTATCTGACGGCGACTTCGACGAACCTTCTGTCCGATTCAAAAGTTCGTGCGTACGAACGATAAATTATACAGGCACTGGGGCTTATACATTCGATTGACCTTGTTGCATCGGTTATTCGCTACTTGACCGATGCAGAAGGAAAGGAAAAATATACATGCATTTTTTACCCGCATGCACATTTTACGACGATAGAAAAATGGGGACGAAATATCAACTGATTTCTATTCTCTCTACAACCTTAAATTCTGAAATACGTTAATACGTCCGAACGTTTCACTTGAAAAATAAGAATGAACTTAAATGGAACATCGGGAGGATGCAACGGCCGAACACAGGATAGGTTTAGCGTACACAAATGGCGGAATAAATTATAAAGGACGTCCGGGAAGCCGAATGAGGTCTTCATTGCGATCAGTGCTCGATCGAACGTGTTGCTTTTCAGGTTTCTCTCGTCTCTGTTCAACCAGCGATTCTTCTTCCCTCTTTGATATATTTCGATCCGACAGATTTAATAACTGTCCGTATATCTCCTTAAGATATTCATTTGCGTACTAAGCCGGTGGCTGCGGAGGAAAATTAATCAGCATTAGATGATTATCGGCTTAAACGACTCGTAAGCTGATTATCTTAACGAAATTATACCGTCAGCTAGAGTATGTACGTATTTTTTTAATCTGTCCTTACTCGGTGATAACGAATTGGCACGTTAGATCTTCCTTGATGTTCTATTTAGAATTATTATCGCATGCTGTGCTTTATACTTGTCCTTGAAATTGAACGCTGCTAGATAAATTATTTAGAAATTAATCTTGTTGGGTTTGAAATTTTTATTTGAAAATAATTGGACATTTTATTAAAGACAAAAAGATTTTCGTTAGTGTTATTTTGCAGTTTTGATATTTTTAATAATTATAGTTCAAAATATCATTTTTAAATTCAAGTTCATTCTTTTCCCTAAATTCCATAAATTCCCCAAATATCTCAAATACTCTAAATTCCTCAAATTCCCAAAATACCCTAATTTCCCCGAACTCTCTAAATTTTCAACTTGTCAATCCCCAAAATTTTCACAATTCTAAATCCCTAAATTTCCAAAGTTTCAAACGTACCAAATTTAATAAATAAATTTCGTAAGTAATTATAATAATATAACTACGAGTTCATGTGACCAATTGCGACAGAAAACTTTTCTTCGAAGAAATAATATTGAATTTAAATATAATTGCATCTAAAAGTACATAGGGGGTTGCATAAGAGCATATTTCGAAACGAAGAAAGTCTAATATGATTTGATGACATAAAAGTACCGTAAAATAGCACTGACATACCAGTGCGAAGCTCGAAGCTTGATGAAAATGACTTCACAAACCCATTCGCAGGTGTTCTTAATATAAAATGGCCGATTGCCAGTTACAGCAATCAATGACCGACACCGAAACATAGAAAGTCTGACACGATTCGATGACATAAAGGTATTGCAAAATAACGCTTATGACCTGTCGATTTTAAGCTTGAGCTTCGATCGAAATAACTGTGTAATAGTTTTGTTAATATTATTTATACAAATTGACTCTTAAATGAAAATTAATTAGAAAAAGTTAATCAAAAGTTTAACTTAGAAAAATTAATCAGATTATAGCTTAATATTGTTTAAAAGTTAATGTGCAATTTTTATCTGAAAATTTAAATCTGAAAATTTTTAATAATTAAAATTTTGAATGTTTAAAATGTCAAATTGAAATTATAGGTTCTTAAATATAACAAATCGAAGAGCTAATTAACCACAGTAGATTGCAAACTGTTTATCGCATTTAACACATTTGTTCCAGTGCAACAGCAATATAGAAACATGTGGACTTCCTATAGCTAATTAATTTCTGGTTGAATTGAATTAAATTAGTTTAACTCGTATCTCTTTCGCCAATTAGTTTAATTTGTATATCAGATTAAACTTTAATTGAATATCAAACTAAGTGTTTCTAAATAGACTTAAATAATCATTTCACAACAAAATTTAATCTGTTTCTGCGGCCCGGATTAATCAGACTAAATTTCAATTGACATCAAATTGTCTAATATTAAATAGTTCATTAAATTTTAATTAAAGTCATGTTTTGTAATTAATTTCTGTAAAAAAAGAACTTTTCGTGTAATTTTAAATAAAACTTTTATGTAAATTATTTTGATTTCATATTTTGTATTGACACTCTCTCATTTCACAAATTCTTTGCATTAAATAATCTTGTTTGCCTTATGAACTGAGTGCAAACTTTTGTATTTATTCAAAATTCTCTACCGAACGCACAAAGTTGATTAAGAATAATTATATCATCGATTCAGCCTTAATCAAAATTCGAACGTGTGTACGGAACAATTAACGCTCTCGCCAAAAACAACCCGAGGCAAACCGGCACACACAATTAGTATTCTTGGCACACAAATGGTCTCCGAAAAAAAAACAATCCATCCCCAGACTATTAAATCCATCAACCCTTAACGAACTCTTCACCACAACCACGAAAACGCCACCATATGCTACCAACACGCTTCGACTAAACGTCGATCAAACGATTCGTTAATTAACCCCCTGACTCTGTCGCACTCGAGAAACCCTTCCTAGTCACGACCCCGTTCCCCATGCTTCCAAGAAGACGCAAATTCCCTTCAAAGTACTGGGACTACAAAAAACCTCTCGCAGGAAGTGATCCCTGGAGTACCAATCGACCGTCCTAGACTCTCGACAAGTGCCAGTCACGGGATTAACCCTTTCACTCTTCGATCCGCAACACACTTTCTAACTATTCACATATTTTATCGATATAATATTTTTTATAAACACTTGGTGTAGTTGGGTCAAATGGGGGTTGAACACTGAGGAGGCAAGGCTTAATTGTTTTAAGTATTGGGGTTGAAGACATAGGTAAAGATAGTTAAATTCTTCAGATATTAGGGTTACAAGTGGGGTAGTGGGGTAGTCAAGTTTTAGAATTCTTAGTATATTGGGGTTGAACACTGTGAAATAAGCAGGTTAATTTTTTTGGAGTATTGGGGTTGAAGGCATAGTGAGGTAAGGATAGTTAAATTCTTCAGATATTAGGGTTACAAGTGCGGTAGTGAGGTAGTCAAGTTTTAGAATTCTTAGTATATTGGGGTTGAACACTGTGAAATAAGCAGGTTAATTTTTTTGGAGTATTGGGGTTGAAGGCATAGTGAGGTAACGATAGTTAAATTCTTCAGATATTAGGGTTACAAGTGGGGTAGTGAGGTAGTCAAGTTTTAGAATTCTTAATATATTGGGGTTGAACACTGTGAAATAAGCAGGTTAATTTTTTGGTGTATTGGGGTTAAAGGCATAGTGAGGTAAGGATAGTTAAATTCTTCAAATATTGGGGTTACAGAGGGGTAGTAAATTTTAGAATTCTTAGTATATTGGGGTTGAAATCTGTGGAATAAGTCAAATTAATTTTTGGAGTATGGGGTTGAAGGCATAGTGAGGTAAGGATAGTTAAATTCTTCAGATATTAGGGTTACAATAACAGAGGGGTAATCAAGTTTTAGAATTTTTAGTATCTTGGGGTTGAACACTGTGAAGTAAGTCAAGTCTAAATTCTTTAAGGTATTGAGGTTAAAGACACAGTCAGATAAGGTCTATTAAATTTTTTATATATTAGAAATTACAATTACAGTAGAGTAAATCGAGTTTCAAAATTTTTAATATATTGGGGTTGAACACTAGAGTAAGGCAAATCTTAATTTTTTCTAAATATTAGGGTCAAAGACATAGTGAGGTAAGTACTGTTAAATTTTGTATATATTGGGATTACAATTGCTATAGAGTTGATCAGGTTGCAGAATTTTTAACATATGGGGGTTGAAGTCATAGTAGATCAAGTTTTTTGAATCTTTCAAATATTGAGACTAAAGACATAGTAGTCTAAGTTAGAATTGTGGAATTCTTTGAATATTGGAATTTTAGTTACAGTGAATCGATACAAGTCTTTTAAATTTAATGTTGGAGTAAAATTATAGTGAAGTACAAGTATCTTAAATTTTGAAAACATTGATACTGAAGTCATGACATAAATTTTAAATTTTATAAATGTTAAAGTTAAAGCCATAGTAAAGTAAAACAAGTCTAAACTTTTTTAATATATAATGAAATAAAACAAGTTTTAAAATTTTTTAAATATTGGGGTTGAAGTTAAAGCAATCTAAATGAAGTCCCATCAATGTAACAAATTTTATAAATAAAATTACAGCAGGTCAAGTCTTCCAAACTTAAAAAATATTAAAGTCAAAGTGAGTAAAGTTTTCGAATTTAAAAAATATTGAGACAAAGTGACCATACGTGAGCCAAGTTCTTAAAAATATTAGAGTAGAAGTCACACCGTTAGCCAACTTCCCAGAAATATTACGATCAAACCATAACTTCCGTAGAACACACGTATACTTTTAGTTAAAAAACTAGAGTAACACTCGTGCATTAACAGAGCCGGTTAAAAGTGGTGCGGACAAACAATTTAAAGTATTGACTCGCGTGCATTGGAACAATCTATACCCTGAAGGAACTACAACCCGTAAATACAGGGATTCGCAAAAACAAAGCGAGTAAACCTTCAAACTCTCCGAAGGCGTAATTAGACACGTCACGTATTCTCGACAAAGGATACGTGCAAATAGCGGAGGTCCCCGCATTCTCGTATTGTACTCCCATATTCCTACTGTACATATCGACACATCGTTCCGACACATTAAATACGTAGATCTCGTAATGTCGACGTAGGTGATTTCGAACGTAGGAATTTAGTCGAGTAAAGGAAGGGGTTGCACTGACCTTGACGAAATGCAGGTTCTCCTTGTCGAGGAGGAACTCCATGGATTTGTGTGGCCGTTGGTTGATGGTGGACGCGGGGTCGTCGTCGCGGGGGCTCCTGTGGGAAGCGGCGACTGGCGACTGGGGTACGTGGAGGGCGTGCTCTGGCCTGGGTCTCGGGACGGTCGAGGTGTGATTCAGATTGAGCAGACTCCTGGTCTTCTTGCCGGCGGCGTTGTTCGTGGAGGCGGCGGTGCTCGTGGTCGACGGCACGGCCTCGTCGAG